CCTAGCTCATGGCGTTCCAGCCATGCCATGCCAAGGATGAGGTCATACCTCGCATCCAGGTCTAAGACCAAACAGCATTCCACGCTATCGAAGTTCTCAAACTTCACTCAAAGGTCGACAGAGACCTTCGAAACGGTTACCAGTGTCCCCGTCGCGAGACGGACCGAGATCGTATCTCTCGTTGGCACTTCCAGTGCCTCAGCCTACAGCTGACACCCTTCCAGGGTGAAGCGACGGGCGTAGTTGCCCGAGGCTCCCGAGTCAATCAAGAATCTCCATGGCTTTGCAAAGCCCTTCACGCTCGCTTGAATGACCAGCAAGCCCGGCTTGCACACACACTTCTCGTAAGAAAGCTCAGCTCTCTTTGGGGCTGAGCCCCGTTGTCCTCTACCTCCTCGAGGCACAGCAGAACTCAGATCCTCCCCAGTAGGCCGCTCCGCGCCTATTGGGAGTTGCCGTTTCCCGGCGAAGACCCGGAGTGCTGGCTCGCCGGTGCCTCGCGCTTCTTGCGCAGAGGGCAATATGCCCTTAAGTGCTTAGTGCTATTGCACACAAAGCATAGGCGGATACCGGCGCGTTGTTCCGCAGCAAGAAGCTCCGCTTCTTCGTCTTCAGCATAGCTGAGGTCCATCGGCTCTGGACCGCTCGAAGAGCTTGCGCTACCAGAGCTCCAACCAAACGGTCGAGCCGGCCTGAGGTTGTGCTCGGCATTCAATGTCACATCTACCGCCTTTTCGAAAGTGTTAGGGTGTACACGGAACACTTCCGTTCGAGCTGCGCTCACACGAAGTCCCTCCATGAACACGGTCACGCTGACCAGTTCCGGAAGAGAGTCCGTCACCATTCCGGCGATAGGAGTTCTCAGCTCCTGGACATAGTCCAATAACGCCTTCTTACCCTGGCGGGTAGCAAGGAACTTCGACCGATATGGTACGCCTGATTAGGCGGCGCGAACACGCACGAAAGCTGTTGCTTCAGCCGATCCCAAGTGGGAAATGCAGTGTCAACAGACGTGCCGCACGTTAGTGCCCATTCGCGAGCTCGACCTCCAAGCCTGGAGATAGCCAGCGCCACGCGCTGATGCTCAGACTGGAGCAGGGCCGATCTTATGGCCATCTCGACCTCACGGGTCCAGAGAAGGAGATTCTCTCCATCCTTTTCTCGAAGGTTTTTACGCTCACCATGAGCGGTTTCAGTCTCATAGACGCTTCATGCGTCATCGACGCCGCCGCCGTTGCGGCTCTCATCTTCTCTTGGACATGCTCCAAGAGCGCGTTCTCGTAGCGAGAGAACGATTCCAGCCTGGCGGTGCCGCCTCTGGACCTTGTGATGCAAGATGAGCCACGTCCTCCGGGCCAAACAAGGACATAAGCTTAGTAAGCGCGTCCTGCTGCGCCGGGGGCAAATTCGCGAACACGGGGTGTTCCATCCTCGCAGAGGATATAGTCAACCGACTCAGGAGCGGGATTGACTACAAGTGCTACCAAGTGCAGCGGGGCTGCCGTAGCTTTAGCGTCAGAGGAAGACGTTCGACTCAAAGAGTCCCTAATACTAAGTTCCTTATCCAAAGGAACTTACAGCCCAAGACCAGGGCTCAAAGTTAATACCTTAGCTTTTATGCTACCAAACCAGAAGTGTTTTATTTACTATTATTACGGCCAACTGTTTAACTATCTAGCATAGTTAAAGCTAATCAAATGCAAAACGTGTGGCTTTTAGCTAACGTACTGAGAAACCTTGTTAACTCTCCAACTTATGTACTGATAGTCTGTAAACTCTTCAGCTTATGTACTTAGAGTTTGTTAACTCTCCGGGTAATCCGTACCCCTGTGTGTTCCACACCATGTAACCCCGTTACATGGCTGGTTCGGCCTGCCGAGCAAAGTTGACGCTGGGTGGAGCAGCTTGGACCTGGCGAGGGTCTCGGGGTGACGTCAAACGCCTCTAGCCCTTCACTCACATCTGCCGATTCGAGCAGCTCTTCAATGCTGCCAACCTGGGTGGTAGCCTCATCGTCGAAGCCGTATGATGGTAAGTGTCGGTAGCTGTTTCGGAATCTGCCCGTAGACCCGAGGTATTGCAGATGTCGTCGTCACCTTTGTACTCGAAGCCGAAGTCAGGTTGCTCGTCTTCTTCATCTTCTTGGCCGTCAGCGTCGGCTCCATCATCCATCTATTTGACGCCTCGTCATCGATGCTCTTCTTAAGAAGTTTGGCCTCTTTGACGTGCGGGGGCATGTCAGCAACACCTGTCGGATTAAGAGTGCTGTTCAGCATCTTGAACTTGCGTCGGAGCCTCTCGTAGCAATGCCGCGCCCTCGGTTCGAAATGTAGGAAGTTGCCAGACGTTCCCATTCATCTTTGCCTACTTGGCGACGAGACTCATCAGGCGTTGCACTTCAGAGAGCTTGTAGCTGGTGCTTCCAGTTAGTTTAGCCATCTAAGTAGAGAAGAACACGAACACGGTAGCTAACGAGACGTTGGTAGGGGTAGACAGCAACGTAGAGAACATTTGACAGCGTACCGGTGACGAAAAGAGCGCTGAGGGTGGTGGAGGGAGGTTACGCGTTATGGCTTGCTCGGGAACGAGGCTTGAAATTGCTCAAAGTCTTATAAAACCAAATATGAGAGCTCCAGGACCGGTTTTCAGCCGGCTTCTCATGGACGCGCCGTAGCAGCACGCCCTCGGCCGCGGCGGGCCGCTGTCTGCCAATAACACTCGTCAGTAGCCAGCTTTAAAACGGGTTGGCGTCCAAGGAAGTGAGCGCCAACAAAGATCAATGCTTTTACTTACCGTTTACTATGAGTCAATATCGCTTTGTTTTTGGTGCGAAACCCGTTATCGGATCTTCAACGCAGACGTGAAGCTTCGAAATAAAGAGAGCACTGCTTCACTTCAACATCAAAATAGCATTTTAAAGATGGAAACATATATTAACGAAATGTAAGAATAAACTCCTTTCCTAAGTCTGCATCTCGGACTGCTGGTTCTGGATCTCGCGATGGCGGCAGATCACGAGACCGCACCGACACCTAAACCAGATATCCGTGCCGTAGTCGGCGGTAATCTCCTCGCCTTCACGAACATCCTCCGTAGTGGCGACCACCACGGTGGTCCGGCGGCCGTTCGCAACCTCGATGAACTGCGCCACAGGCTCACAAGAGTGGTTCACAAAACACATTAATCCTCAGCGTTGAGGGTGCCACGGATCGGGTGGCTTAGTCTTTCCGGTCGCTGGGTCATGAGGAGGCGGTAGCCTTTGTTTCGAGGTCGGACCGCTTGATTCACACTCACGTGCTCCAACTCGCCCAAGTACTCGCCCAGCACCGTGCCACCATCAACGTCCTCCGCAACGACAGCCGCCAACTGCCGTGGCGGGGCGTTTCGCGCCAAGTAAATCGAAGACGACTCGTCATAAGAGTAGCAGCCTGGAGTGCAGAACATCTGCATTTTAGAGGTCCAGTCCCAGTAGATCTGTAGCCATCATGCCCGTCGACAGTGTCAGCCCTCTGCAGGTTCGGCGGCGTGTTTTTCTCCTCTTCAGTCGAGGAGTCTGCGATACACCGCTCCCGCCAGTACGAGGCCGAGTGAATCATGGCCTGTAAGTACAAAGATCATTAGCAAGCATCCTTTCTCAAAGTCCGTGAGGACGTACCTTTCTCAGCAGCGTCGGCGCTTTGCTTTTAGTAACCGATTTTGGAAAGTATCAACTTCTTCAGCTTTGGCGCAAAAATGAGATATGCGATATTTTTGCAGAAAAAGTGATTGTAGATTCACCCAGAGCGATGATCATCATATTCAATACAAGTTCCAAGATCTATTCTTAACATGGCTAAAGAAATTTAAGCTAGGGGTAGGAAAGCTTATCGATACGATTTTTATGCCCTACAGATTAAATTGAGACCGCCCAAAACAAAATGATACTTACGAACCTAAGTACGAATCGCGATTTAAGCCCTCTAAACAAAAGCGGGGCGTCTCCTCTATCTCTTGAGCCCGTATAAGCTACAGAATGCTAAAAAGTTGTGGTCGCTCAAAATTATTATCTTCATTTATGGCCCCTCGAAATGACGATACATTTAGGAGTGTCGTGAGAACAATATTTCTGCAACATTTAAAAACTCAAGTGTTATTTAAAAGCCTTTGTTAAAAGCAATTGAATAAGGGTACTTTTACAGTTTTTTTCGACGGAAGTTTACGCCAAATGTCACAGTTCTGGTTAAGTACAAAAATCAATTGGCCAACTTTAAGCTCGATTATCTCGATAATTCTGAATGGTTCGCAAGTATCATTTTGCTTGACGCAGTCTCAGCAGCAGATATGCCCCGCCATATCTACTGCAGGTATGCCGGGGAATTTGTATATTTTTGGAAGGCGTCCACTGTACTACAATGTACAAACCGACGCACACTCATTAATGACAAGAGAAATAGCCAATCATTGCACTCTAAATCTTGTACTGTTGTAGTTTATGTGCTTACTGACAGCATACAAAGTGCAAGATTAAACCTGATCAATTTGCCGTGTATGTTTTTTGTGCAGCATTCACTTCAAGAATTTTGCTGTCGCTAATCACAGAAGGAATACGGTAATTAAATATGTATGCTTCAATTGAACGATTTATCAAAACCGGTACGGTATATGTATTACAAGACTGGAATAATAGTTTCAGTTAGTATTTGTAAAAGCGATGTGAGTAAACATTTGGGTCCGTGAATTCGTGCGAAACGGTAGCGGCAGATCCCAAGATGCTATTACATTCCGGGACCGGTAAAAGCCGCTCACTTTCCTTGAATCGTTCGATTGCCAAAGCAAGCAGACTTACTGATTTCGCTTTACAGTTCCATGTAATCCGTGGTTACGTGATGCACTGTGCACTGAACATATCCATATGGGTCGGTATCATCCATGCTTGCAAAGTCGACTCGACGATGATAACGACGCTATACATGTAGTGCTGTTCGGCCAGCTCTCACTTTTTAATCTGACGCTGAGGCGCCATGACATCATTCCGCGGTCTTCTAAAGTACTTCACCGTTGCAGCGTGTGTGCTGTGTTCGGTTAAGACAGTTTCAGCAGCGTCGGACTCTGGTTTCAAGAACCGAACGACGGTTTTGCTAGCGGGTGACTCGATCATGGAGCAAGCTACCGAGCCATCCGTGGACGGCTTCATTTCTCTTCTGGCGGGCCGATACTCGCGCTCCGCCGATATGATCGTGCGTGCTCTCTCGGGATACAACACGAGGTACAACCGTGCACATTTACTTGCTTGGAGATGTTCATCTCACTCATCTGTTTGTCCGAGCAACTTTCAGATGGTACCTTAAGTACGCGATGCCCGGCATCGAAGAAGAGATCACGAGGGGTGACTACAACCCAGCACTTATCACACTCTGGCTGGGTGCAAACGACGCAGTGTTGATAAACGGTACTAACCAGGAGATGCACGTCCCCGTTCCATAGTACAAGCAAAAATCTCATCAAAATTGTGGAGAAATTCCAGGCAGTGGCACCTGACTCAAAAATGATGATGGTTACCCCAACTCACGTCGGTGACGCTGCCCGAAAGAAATTTGCTGCGGAGCGAACCGACTCCAAGAAGGGGTTGTTGGACCGGTCCAACGCGATGATGAAGCCGTACGCTCGCGCCTGTGTGGAAGCTGCAAAAGAGGCTGGGGTCTCCGTTCTGGACCTGTACTCGCACTTCGATGCAATGACGGTGACTGCGAGAGACAAACTGTTGGTTGACGGAGTTCACTTCAATGCTGCAGGCCACTTGGTTGTTGACGAGAAACTGCGCGCTACGATTCTAAAGGAGTTTCCTGAAGTCAACGACCTCCTCGACACGTACCAATTTCCGATTGTGAGCCGGTGGATGAAGGACGATCCGTACGTCCCGGAGACAACGAAGTAACTCCTTTTACGGCTATAGTCGACACCCAAACTGATGCTGTAGCATCATCGTTCAGGTGCCTATATTTCAGGATTCGATGCTGAGGATGCGCCACGTTTCATTTTGCTGTATCTGATTCCTGAAACAGCTACTGTACTGTTAATACATAGTCTGAATAAATGCGTAAAGGTTCAGCTCCCATAAATGACTCTCTATCATTCAAAAAGGTACGATTTCTCAAAGGGATTCAGTATAGACCTTCATATTCTCCTAGTCCTGGTAGTGCTATGAGTAGTACAGACAACGACAACTCCCTCGACCCCCCTCAAGTGCAGCTGTTGGACTCAAATACAACAAAAACAAAAAAGGGCTGCTTTAATTTAAACCAATTAACACGTTTCACATAAATTGCTGGACAGCACGCCTGAGCGTTATGGCTGTGAGACGATGGATGCACCTCGTCGCCAAAACAAGTACACCGTCAAACAGAGGCTGGAAGCGCTCGAGCAGGGGGCACTGGAGGGATGCAAGCCTACCTCTCGGGCGCTAAATATTTCATTGAGTAGACCAAAAGAATAGAGGGAAAAGGCAAATCTGCTGTTTGAGTTCAAGAGCGCCCAGACAAGCAAAACGACAAAAGGACAGGGAGCAAAGACGAAAATCACATTTAGCTCGGGAGAACAAGTCTACGACTGTAGAGATGGTGTTGATCAAAAACATACATGTACATTCGATTTGTTTTCCTTTTTTTCTCGTTTTTTTTACTCTTTTGTTTTATTTTATTTTGACCAATCGCAGGTTGGCCTTTCTCATTTTGTATTGAAAATAAATATCTACCGGGGCGGGGGGCGGGGGATTTTCACCGTTGTTGTCGTACAGACCTTTAGGGATTAATTCGAGATTATGTACACGCAAAAAGTAGGTATCGATTCAGTACAAATTTCAAATGAGCAGGTCTTATTTTCCCACCAATTTGTATGAATACACAGGTTTCACTCCGGGGAAAAGGTTTAGTCAAGATATACATTTATACAAACTAAGTGTGCTAAACAATCACATTCTTTGAGAGCTTCCCGACTAGAGGAAATACTGGTGCTTCGTTCGCCCTCATTGGCATTGACCTCACCGATCGTAAGTCTTGTGGTGTGGGTGCAGAGATCTGATGGGGCACTAGGCAAACAGCACTCATATAAACGCTGTGTCGCATTGAATAGAATTTTGCTGTGGCCGTATCACAAGGCAATCGTCCCAAACACGGACAAGAACCACCTACAGGCATCAAGCCGTATTCAGCTGCCATCAAGTTTGACGACTAGACAGTGAGCAACCTGGTACGCCGAGGTTAATCACAGATGGAGAGATGTCTGATTCTGGTGCATCCAAGTCAGCATCCTCTAACTGGCCAAATATTCATGGATCTTGTAGGACAGACCGCCAGTGATCCAAGTGGAATCTCTGGCTGTCTTGCGTGTTGCCTCTGATGCTGCCATCAACATCAGAGCTGTACAGTTTCATTTGAGGTGGAAGGTTGGTGACAATTGGCTTATCCTCTCACTCTACAATCTGCTAGCTTCAGCGTACATCAATACACTAGACTACAAGTTTCGTGTAGGCTCGCCACCTGCCCTGCTTGGTGTTTTCAGCCTCCGGAAAACACCACACCACCACAAACCAGTTCTGTGCATGTACGGCATTTGGATCTGCAGCGGTTGCTGCTAATTAGATGCTGCTGGTTCGTTACTATGTGTGCACTAGAGGTGGAGAAAGGACGAGATGGTGGCCGTAGCTGAGGCGAGAAGGACCATTTTTATATTTCTTGTTATATTTGTCTTGTCTAGTTTGACGAACCGCTATATTTTCGTAAATGCCGGTGTACATTTATGTTTTGCTGTGATACTGTGTAGATGTGTAGCTGTAGCGTTCTGGTCACCACATAAGCGAGAAGGTTATTTTTTACGCATCTGGTAGCCCACTAGTGATGGCCAACAGGACGGTATATTACTTTTTTTTACCGTTTTTATAATAGCGCTAGGTTTGATTATGGTGTTTTGGTCACCACACAAGCGAGAAGGTTCTTCTTACGCATCTGGTGGGCCACTAGTAGTGGTGGTGGGCCACTATTAATTGTAGTGGTGTTGGGCGTAAAAAGAACCTTGCAGTGGTGGTGGGTCACTAGTAATGGTGGTGGCCCATCAGATGCATAAACAATAACCTTCTTGCTTGTGTGGTGAGCAGAAAGCTACAATCACACACCTACACAGTATCACAACAAAACATAAATGCACCGGCATTTTCGAAAAATATCGCTGTCGTCAACTAGACGAGACAAAATAAACAAGAAATATAAATAATCGGTCCTCCTCGCCTCAGCTACGGCCACCATCTCATCATTTTCTTCGCCTGTAGTGCCCACATAGTGACGAAACAGCAGCATTTAATTAGCAGCAAATGCTGCAGATCCAAATGTCGTTCATGCACAGAACTGTTTTGTGGTGCTTCTTGTCCGTGTTTGCGACGATTGCCTTGTGAAACGGCCACAGCAAAATTCTATTTCAATGCGACACAGCGTTTATATTAGTGCTATTTGTCCAGTGTCTCATCAGATCTCTGCACCCACAACACAAGACGTACGTTCGATGTGATCAATGCCAAGTAAGGCGAACGAAGCACCAGCATTTCCTCTTTCTCAAAGAATGTGAATTATATTTTGTTTAGTATACCAAGATGGTATAAGTTAATATCCATGCTAAACTTATCCCGGGAGTGAAACCTATACAAATTGGTGGGAAAATAAGACCTGCTCATTTGAAATTTGTAATGAATCGATACCTACTTTTTGTGTGTACCCCCATAATCTCAAATTAATCTGTAATGGGTGATAGCTGACAATTTATTTTTCAAAGGACTTGATAATATCAAGTTATGAGTTTGTTGGTTTCTATTTATAGCACAGCGACGAAAAGACCAATGGAAGAGTTCGAGGGCTTAGACACCAACGACGTATTGATTGGAACGGTTCCCTTTCGCACTACCGGTGCCGTCACAAATCGAACTTGCGACGCACTGGATCCGTATTTTTCGATCCAGACGTCTATTGCTGCCTCTGCGCTGAAGTCCATGGTCGGCATCACGTAGTCAACCAATTTCTCCACAACATAATTCGAGGTTTCGGGATCGCCCAAGACAATCAAATCGATGCTCTCATCGTCATCACACCCAGGCGGTGTCCAGAACCAGCGGTCTCCCCAGTAAATAACATCGCCGTCGCTCCCAAAGCTGAACCCGTCCAGTTCCTCGTCACTCTCACTGTAGCTCCATTCCTCATCGTCCTCTTCATCGCATATATCGGATTCATAGCTGATCTCGGACCCAGAGCTGTCAGTGTCATCGTCATAAATGAACTTGGTGGACACCCAGCACTTCGTGGAGCAGGGTGTGTAAAGATCTTCGGCCCAGATCTCGGACATCGGCTCCCCCACCATCTCTGGCATAGCGCTCCATCTCACCGTCTGGTCCAGAAGCTCAAAAGATCTCCACGGGAGCCCCACAATTGTCCGGAAGGTACGTGCGAGGAGCGCCATCGCAGCGTGCGTGTTTACAGTCGTTCTTTTGCGTTTGCACTTAAGGGCCGGAATTCTGAAGTGCTGTTATTGCTGAGTAGGCTAGTGGAGCTCCATGTCGTCCAGCGTAGCAAAATTTCTGAAGAGAAAACGGTTTGTCGTCTTCTCTGCCAAAGGCCACGGCTACCGTCACTTCAACTTGGTTAAATGATCTCTGCCTGGTATTCTGTAACGGAGCACATAACTCTAAGGGGAATGTCCCGTTAGTCTTTTCGGTGATATCGATGTCGTCTAATGCTGCTCTCTCCCGGTGGACTCTTGACCTCTGTCCTCTAGCTTTTTTTTTTAATTAATTGCCACTAGGCCTCGGCGAACGCTCGTTGGTTTATACTGTACTTAAGCAATTTGGTAGCGTCGCTGGTTATGGTACAAGTTGCTAATTAATGCGCCTTCACAGCACGGGGATGTAGAATCCCGCGACTATACAGGGTTCCTGAGACTCGTCGCCATCCGAGTTACTGTCGGGCAAAGTCGCGACGTAAGTGAAGTCGGCCTTGCTGGAGCCGAAACGATCATCCCAGGAGTCAACGACTCCACCGGAAGCGAAGTCAATCGATGACATGGCGTACATTGTGGGGCGTCTGTAGTACTCGTCGCCTCGCTCCAGTCCGAACTCCTCCAGGTTTACGCTACGCTGGCTTGAGGAATCGTACTTTTCCTCAAAACTCTGCATACTATTCATCGAGCTAGGCGGCGTCCAGTACCATCGTTCGCCTTGGTACGCATACGAGTCGCTGTCTTCGTCGTCCGAGTTGCCGTCCAGACTAACCTCGTCGCTGCTCCAATCTACGTCTTCGTCGCTGGAGAACATGCCGGAGCTGCAACTGTCCGTGAGGTCGTCCTCGATGCAGGCCATTACGGTCGCGATTTTCGAAGCAGTGAAAACCAGGCATTCCGATAATACAATTGCAATCATATTGAAGGTCCATGCCAAAATAAGCTATTGCTACAAAAACTACAACTTAAGAAATAAATAATTGACATCAATAGTAGTGTATTGGAAAATTAACTACTTAGATGTACAGCACTGCACATTACTTTGCGTTCACGATAGCTGCTACAGTGTTTGCGTCCCAGAAAGGCCGATTCATCTTCAGGAACAACACGGTTTCAAGCTGAATAGGCAGCATACGCTGGCGATGGTGGGAAAGAGTATGTTTCGCCACACTAAAAAGACGCTCCACGGTGTTTGACGTCGGCGGGATGAAAAGCACACCATCAAATACCTACTTTGCACCGCGCCGCTTTTTTCTAGTCGCCAAGACTCTGTCGGCAAAGCCCTGTGGGCGTCCGTGCCTGGTGTCCGGTGTCGTAATTGCGGGTACCGTCTCAAATGGCTGCAACATCAGCTCCTGGTCGTTCGTCAGCTCGTCCACGGCGCCTGACAGGGCTACAACGCACGCTCGCTCGAAGTCCACGTCCTTAACAATATTTGCGTCGGCAGCAAGATACTTTTTCACAACGGAATGCTTCTCGATGAGCGCATCAAAGATATCGCGCACATCGAGAAGCGTTACGTTGTCGTCTTGAAGCTTCATGGTGGCCGACTGGAAGTCGCCAAGCTGGCAGTAAAAAAGTAGCTGCAGACTTGCTTGGTCGTGAAGGTGTTGGCGAGAGCCATGGTAAGATCAAAAATGATAGACGAGCGCCTCAGGTTCGCGTTTTGAGCGACCGTTGCTGAGCTCCGTATTTACGCAGAACAAAGCAGAAAAAACTAAATTTTACGAAAAAATAAAGTACTTTGTTGTAAATACAAAATAACTAATTGGAAAAAGTCATCCAATTTGTAAAAATCAGTAATTAAGTGTAAACTATTGTATTGAAGCAGCAATACAATGATTATTTCGGAATGCCTGGTGAAAACGTCATCGGCCCACTGGGGTCCTGTAGGAGGTCGGTGTAACTCCACCAAATAAGTTGGAACCGCCACCAAAAAAATGGAGAATGCACACGAATGGTGGACAGCTATCACTCACAAAATAAAAGTGGAGTGTCCACACAGATAGGAAGCAGTAACACTTAGCACAAAGCTTATAAACACTCCGTGTCAGTGCTTTCGCTCGAATCATTAGCATAGGTGAAGTGATTAGAACACTACGTTGTAGCGATCATGTTGTAGTTGCAGCAACAACGACGCCTCACTTTCCCTTGCAACGAGCTATGGCACTAAATTTCGGCTGGAATCCGAGCAGAGACCACACTCAGCGAGGATGTGGTTGGAACGAAGTAAGAAATGACCATAGTAATATTAAAAGTTAAGGAGATTGTGATACAAATGATAAAAGAGATATATCACCTACATCATTGCCTCGATTTCTTTCTGCTTTGGAGGTGAGACTCGACAGCTCGTCTTGTAAGCTTCCGTTGACGTTTGGAGCGCCGACAACTCCTGGATACGCCATTCGATTGGCCGTGATGTTCAGCAGATGTATTAGTCTGGACGTGTTCGTCCCCGAGGCTGTAGTCCAGTATCTCCGTCGCAGCAGAACTCACAATGGAAGGCGTTGGACTATGCGTAGAGGTGGCTGGCTCAAATCCTTGTGCGTCATCTTCATTCTGTACAGTATGGTTGACGGCTGTTTGCACACTTAGTGGCTCCGCTCGCACTGATCTCTCTATAATAGAGTCTATTGGATGGTCTGAATCAGAAGATGAATCTTGACTTGTATCGCCCACTCTAATATCTCCGGTCGATCTTGGCGTAGAAGCGCCAGAGACTTGAGACAAAAAGTCAGTATCAGAGTCAGGTGATCCTTCTTGAGTCTGAGCATGGACATGGCTTGGCCTGACAAACTGTCTGAACCGCATGCTTACACCGGAGCACGACACGCCTCCTTGCACACAGGCACTGATTACATGGCAGCACATAGCATGCTTCCTGTTGTAGGCGCACGAGCAAGACTTGCTCCTTGTATCTACGACCCAACCACCTGCAGGCATACCTTCGGTTTGTTTTCGCCTAGAATTGACCGATCTGATTGATCTAGCAACAAGTTTCTTTTCGGAAGCCGCCAGCCGCAATGGGCGCTGCTCAACACGATACAGATCGGCTGCTACAGATCCTACTGGAGGTAGGATATGCACCACGAGGCATTCTCTCTTGCACATAAAGCGATAAAGCCTTACCAGGCGCTCTGAAGCAGTAGGGACTGACGAAAACTCCGGGTCCGAACTCATAAAAGCCAGTCTGGCACCATTCAGGTTTTGTATGAGCTCACTAGGTATGGAAGGTCCATCAGGACATTGAAGCTTGACTTTGCGGTGATACTGCTCCAATGGATTATTGGTAGCCGCATATCCGGGTGGTGTGTGATGAGCCTGCCAGCGCATAAAACGGTGCGATTTGACCCACATTTTAGCAATGTGATCAGTTAATTTGCGTACTGGTGATCCCCGGGGTTTGGCACTCCATTTTGTCAGAATTTGGGTTTTCACAACTGGGTACTCTTGCTCACTAGCATAGTGCATATCATAAAGATCCACAAATACAGATCTTGTGTCACCTTCGCTGACGCGCTTTTCACGAGAATGCTTCCATACATTCTTTGTCACATGAAACCAGCACATTAAGACAACAGTGTGTGGTAGTTCTGTGACACAAGCGTTAAATTGTGCTTTGTCAGCATCCATCATTACAAATTGTGGTGCAAATTGAACACCAGCACAGTCCATGCACACACGCTTCAGGTATCTGATGCACCATCCGATGTCTATCGCACGTTTTTGCGAAGTGCAAAAGTATACCAACGGAAAAAAGTGCCCAGCGCGATCCGAAAATCCAAAAACAAAAACCAAGTAGCCGTTTATAACCATGCTGTGCGTACTGTCAATGTGCAAAATTGTAGTGAAATCGGGATGAGTCTGGACCGCAAGGTAGCTTCGAATTAGACGTAAACAGGTCATCCCTACCCGTAGAGGGTACGCGACCGATCCGTCACCAAGGTGCGAAACAGTCCCCTCTGCACCGGGCCCCGTGTCGCGTTGAGAATCACATAAAATGATCATTGCTGTGTCTGATGTCGTCTCTATATCAATTTGGTCATAGAGGTGACCATCACACAGCTCTATCATCGGCGCCATAGAATCTTTAGGATTCTTGCGTCTCCAGTTCTTAACGAAATCTGATACTTGTGAGCTAGTAGGAGCTGGACCATCGAAATTATTCTGGTCAACCAGTGTACAGATAAGCGAATGTAGACGTGAAGCCGTAGTTTGCTCTCCAGCTCCGAGGCTGTCCGTAATGTAATCTTTCATTTGCAGAGTAAGCTTGCTCTTTACTGGTGTTGGGGGGTCATCGGTGCCCATCGCATGATTGCCTTGTTGAAGCACCTCACACGTGCTAGATGACAGACAGACCTTGAACTTGTAGCGACAGGGGCAGGTGCGGTTCGCGTTCAACGGCGTGTCAGTATCAGTGTCGGCAGCAAGCTGCAGGCGTGACTTGCAGCGCTCAGATTTACACAGAGCAAGTTGTGAGCGCATTTTATGGCCACATCGGTGCAAATCGTAGTCTTGATCAATTAAATGGTTAATCGTACACCCTACTGGGTTGCTTTTGTCGATACTGTGTGGTGGTAGAGCTGATCGATATCTTTCTAGAGCGTCTGGTTCTGTAGAACGCCAAATAGTAGTCCAGGGTCGCCGCGGGCGAGATGCAGAGCCGTCCTCCACGTCGGACTCCGATGAATCTAGCTGTAATGCCCCATCTAAAAGATCATCGTTCTCACTCTCCATTTCTTTGTCTCCACGTAATTCTAAATGAGCGACAGTGCGATGAGCGTGTAAAACTATCTATTTCTGTATCTACAACACTTGGCAGTGATCATGCTATTTTGGTGGTCGTTCATTTTAAGGTGGTGGTGGTGACCGTTTTCTGTGTGTGTGGTCCCGTCCATATTTTGGGTGGATCTACACTTTTTTATTATTGCAGTACACATAATTTAAAGTGGTAATAACCCGGACTCGTCCTGTAGGCTCGGGAGGAACGCTCCAGAGTAGAGTTTGCTCCACATGCTTCAGCACGCTCCACGGTATCGTGGTGACGGTGTACACCATCCTCCGTATTGCCAACGTAGCGGCCGGGAGAACCATGAGTCGCTGCTTTGGAAATGAAGAACTGGAAACACCCGTGGGGCAGCACTACAAATCCTTTGAGCTCCAGAGAAATGACTGGGGTCCAGCTGCGGCGCAGCGCAGCCTGCGCGGGTTGCGCTATGACGCATAAATTACATGTATGAGCAGAGGAAAAGAGTCCACGACTCTCCGAGATTCAATTTTCGAAACTTTTGACTTGAACCGCGTTCGTCACTTCCAGATGCACAAATGTTGCATTGATCACGCACAATTTATCAAACCGCTACGCTGAATTTCTGTCACTTATGTTTGTCTCTCCGCATGCCTAGGCGATTAAAGCACTCGATGACATGCAGCAATGACAGCACTCATACAACAAACGCGATGGGTTGAAGTACCTGTGCGGCCGCTAATACACCATCGGCATGGTTTCTTACAGCCACACCTCATCGGTACGACTGGTGATACTCGAATCGTTCGAGTCACGGATAGATGACGAAATGGAGTCACTGCCCTGCAGATAACGCCACGGGTGGATCATATCCTCACGAGTTATGGCGCTGTCGTGGAAGCTGTACTTGAGCGCTTCGTCCAGTGCGTCTTCGTCAGCACTGAGTCGCCCAGCCTCCGACGGCGCCAGCTTCTTGCTGGTTCTGGCTACTAGAGATTGGCGGTCCTCGCTGAAGAAAAGCAGCTCCCAGCACTCCTGGCAGTACAGTTCACGCTGCCCTCCTGCAACGTCCAGCTCTGCGAGCTCGCCAGTGGCGCCACAACGATGGCAGTGCTCGCCCTCTGTATTACGACCTTGTTGCGAGTCCCGAAGCGGGCTAGCAGTAGAGCCAACAGCCATAGTAGAGTGCCGCTCGAGCTGCAGCTCCATCTGCAAGCTCAGGAGAATTTCCTGGATCTCGTCAATCATAGTCTTCTTCACCAACACCACAAGCGCGGGCTTGTCCTTGATAACTTGACGCACATCCGGAATATTACGGAAAAGCTCATTCACAAGCGGGTTGGACAAGGCACCATCCTCATTCTCTAGGTCGTCGTCGTGCGCTTCGTGCCCCTCTTGTTCCTGTTCCTTCTCGTGCTGCGCATGGACGTCGTGGTCATCAGTCTCCTCCTCTTGGACCTGGTCCAACTTCATACCCAGCGAAGTATTCATTGTCTCCTTTTCGTTTGCGTCACTCTTCTCATTCTTTTCGCTCTCCTGCTCATCTTCGTCATCGTCGACAAACTCCTCGTGCTCTTCGTCATCGTGATTGCCATCCTTGAGATCAAGCAGGTCATCAAGTGACGCCACACTCGCCGCCAAGTCTCGTTCATTCGAGCTGTCGACGCTGGCAGCGTCATCCTCTTCGTGCAGTGTCTCGTCAGCGTGCTCTTCTTCAAGCTCAGCCATATCAATAGGTTCTTCCTTGGGTCCCTCCTTCTGCTCGACTTCATCCTTTCCAGTCTCTACTTCCTCCGTCTCTTGGCCGCTAGCCTCCATCGGCTCTGCCACTTCGAGCTCGTCCACCACAAGCTCACGAACAGTCTCCTTCGACTCGGACGATTTCAGCTCCTCCAGCATCAGCCCACTGCTCGCCTCGATAGTCGTTTCTTCAGTCTTGGCCACTGTTGACTGCTTATCTTGCTGCTCGTCCGTCTTATCGGTCTCGCCGCCATCCGTTGGCTGCACTGGCGTCGCCGTACTGTTGAGACTCGAGGTTGTGTGACGTTCCGACAACCTCCCATCGCCCTTCATGACAAAGTCCTTGAGTGATATAAAGTCTTCAGCGGGAGTCACAGGTGCAGGAGCAGGAGTCACAGTCGGGGTGGCGTCACTACTAACCGGGGACGAAGGTCCTGCAGAGGATAGTGACGGGGTTAGGACCGGAATCGGTGGTTGCTGGATAGAAATGTCCTTCTGCATCTTTGCGAAACTCTCATCCAGATTGTCACTGAAGATTCCGCTTCGCTTGAGCTCGTGGCCGCTATTAACGTCGTTGATAACGTCCAGCTTGTGCTCCTCGGGTTCGACCTTGTGGTCGTGGCCGGCATCACCATTCGTCTGGCTGAGAATGGGGTTGGAAGCTACGGCGTCGTCCTGCAGAATCGTATACGACAAATAGTTCGAGTGCGTCTTGCGACCGAGCGGGTTCCCGGGAGTCCGAGACGGCTGAGGATCCTTCGGAGCAGGTTCGTCGTCCGAACTGCCCTCCTTAGCTAGACACGCCTTGGCGTAGATGTACATGAGCTTGGCCTGCACCGTTCCTTCCTTAATATCGAGCAGTGGTACTCCTCCAAACTCACACTCTTCCTTGGGCTTTCCTGCAGCACGGGCAACAACACCAGTAGCCTCTTCGAAACTCAAGTGAGATGAGTTGCTGACTTGGCTATCGCGAGACGCCAAGCGTGGACGATCCGCAGCGTCAGTTGTAAGTGGCGGCGCAGGTTTGCTTTCTAATTGCTGCTGACGTCGGATATCGTCTCGTGAAGCAGAATTCGTCCGAATTCTCACAGGAGGAGGCAGCAGCAGATGCGGCTGGTTGAAATATTCCTCAGACCGTTGCTGATGACGATCATCCTTTGGCTCACGACGGAAATCTCCAGCCACGCCGTCCTCATCATGACCATGCGCGTACGCATTCATCGAGTTCTTGGAGTATCGTCGCTCCTTTGTTTCAATCTTTGACGCTCCGAATTGATACTGTGCGTCGTAGTCCTCAATCGGCTGCTGCTCAAAGTACGTGGCGCTGTCTCGCGAGTATCGTCGTGGTGCTATAGCAGGCTGCAGTTCGTACTCCCTGTCGTCAGAATAGCCACGCTCCATCCTCTGCTGTGGCATCGGTTGGTCCACGCTGTTGTTGCGACGCGGAGGTCGTGGAGGTGGCTCATACTCTGGCTGTGGCAGAGGCAAAGGCATCGTGGGTCGTCTCGGTCTCTCCGACGCGTCTTCATCCGCCAGTTGCGGCAATAAACCTCCCGCCGGGTTCAAAATGCGGTTCGACGACGCGTGGAACCTCAGCACCACAGGCTTCTCAATGACATGTAGCCATCGCAACACCTTCTCGACACCTAAAGCCTTGGTCTTTTCTCCGTTGATGGAAATGAGCACGTCGTTGACACACACTCGATCCATACCCCGTCCCAGTCCTCTACTGGCACTGATAAAGTCCACACACGGGACGTTCACCTTGGAGTTGTACGCTCGGAAGGAAATACCGAGCGAGCCTCGTTCCCACACGACACTGTACTGCTTCCTGAGTCGTCTCTCCTCGGCCTCAGCCTCGGCTCCATGCTTGTGCTTGTGCTTCCTCTTGCTCTTCTTCTTCTCTGACTTGGTCGACACGTCGCTGTCTATACTGAAGTTCTGTACGTTCGGGTTGCGTTTCTGCTCAATCAGCGCGTGCGTGTCCACGTCCGAGCGGCCTCTAGAGCGACTTTTAGGCTGCTGGCTTGGTCGTGATGAGCTGCAGGCGCGTGAGCGGCCTCCACGTGCAGAAGACGGCTCTTCAGCGATGGCCCCCGAGACGCCGCGCTGCATCTCGGGCACTTGCAGCGGCGAGCGGAAGTGCAAAACCATGGGGAGACGCTCCTTGAAGAGCAGACGCACCACTTTCTCGTATCCCAAACGCGTCGTTTTCTTGCCGTTGACGCTGATGAGCAGATCTCCTTCCCGCACACCAGCCATCTTGAGTACAGAAGGCTGAGGCAGCATCTGCGCCACGACGGGGGGCATGTCGGCACCCAGATCGGGACGCAGCACCACGCCCAGCGGTCCGGCATTCCAGTTGATGAGGTAATCCTGCATTTGTTCGGCGTCTGTCGGCGCGTGCGGCTGCACTAGCCTCGCCGCCATACACTACACCAGCACTTCCGTCGGAAGTACGCGAATGGTAGAAGGCTCGATGTGGCGATAGGGGTGGGAGGTGCAGTCATCGTGTTGATTGGCTGAAAAGATTGGGAATAGTGAATACAAGTCAAATTTGGTGGCAGGAACATCAGCGAAGCCAGCGCAATGACAGAAGCTGCTGAGAGCCTTCACTGCCTAAAGGAGTGGTGTCTTGGTCACTAGAATCAAGTGCACATTAAGTGGTGCATACAAGTGACGAGATGATTGTACAATTGGTCTCCGAAGATGCGAGTATTCTCGCTGTGTAGTGAACGATGTATCGCTTCAATGGAAAGGTTGCTCCACACCTACGCAACACGCACGTGTGCGTGTACATGTACACGTACATGTTCAATTTTGGAGACAGGTCTCCTCTGTGCCCGCACGATCGGACCGCAGACCGGGTCGGGTGGACCATGTAGATTCACCGCTACATGTATCATGCGCGGGGAATTAAAATGACTTCATTATCAGATCTCCACGTAGCCCATGCCGTCCCGAACGAAATTCGGCAGGCACCAGCTTCGAGGTTGTGTCATGCAGGGCTGGAATTGTGTCAACAAGAACGAGCGGCGCCACCGAATTCGTTTTGGAAGAATGCAAGCCATACGATCGGAGCCGACGCGAGTGAGAGGCACGAAAAGTCGCAGCATTCTCCCACTTCAACTTCATCAGCCAATCAGGAACGTTTGAGAGAATGGCTACAGGAGAAAAAATATAATGCAATACTTTAGTAGTGCGGTATTGCAGGCTTACAATTAACTGGAACCCGTAACGTGACCGCTGCCGATATTGCAATACTGTATTTCAGAGCAATGCGCAATACGTATTGTGCCCCTGTGCCAAATGGAAATAATGTCAGTAGTAGAGGTGGTTTGCTATGGACCATAGCCTATGGTGGTTGGTTATTCGTAACGAAAGCGGTTAGCAACGTGAACAACGCCAAATCAAACGCTCAATCTGGCATCATAAGCATAATCTCCAGGCTTTCGAGATTCTGCAAGCAACGTGTTGAGGAATTACACCCCGCTCGCTCAAAAAGAAGTACTACAGCAAAGGCTAAAGCACGCAAGCAAATACCAAGATGTGAGCTACTGTACCAATGTTGCAGAGGTGTCGATTGCACTAAAACGAAAAAATAAGGCTTCTCTTCTATTATAGACAGCGAAAAATGAGCTGCCGTCTTTGGTGCGCGCAGCGCGCCAAAAAATAGATGGTGTGTGCCTTTTCTTTGAAATTTTATATTGCATGCAATACGATATTGCGAGGACATCGCAGTTCATGTTCCAAAAAAAAATATTGCGAGGACATAAATACCGCAATACAAATTGCGTGAAGACCTCCTATCCAAATTCTATTCATACTGTGATTTAGCTACTTTTTCAAACCTGTGCCTACAGGTCAATAACTCGAGGGGCACTTATCGTTGACTTATCCTTTACCGCCATACGTCAGTACATTGACTTACTAGACAGAGAGTTTTTTTATTTGTTTACTGACTCGCTTTGACCCAACACCTCAGTATTGCATGTGGCCGGGGTAATGGGGGAAATATGTAGAAGTTCATCACGTCCAAGTGACTGCCACGAATGGTCTGTGCGTTCGTCACTGTACAGCATTCAGATGGTCACTTCTGAGCTATTATATCGACCACTTTCATTAGTCATTCTCGTGCTGATGAAATATAGCCAATTAACAAGCTGCTCGTGAGCTGCAGTCCTACTGTATCCGCTGCAAAATAAGTAGGAGTCCCGGAGAGCTGGTCCATTTCACTACCAATGATGATATGTTGTGTTTAAGGATAAGCTTCGAAAGATCAGGGGCGTATATACGCGGGCCTTCGTATTCAAGAATGGCAAATAGAAGCGAAGCCTGGCAATGTTACGATGATCGGTAGCCTCATGGCTGAGTTAGGATAAAATGGTTGTGCTCAGACATCGAGAAAATCCGAGCAGTTTGACAGAACGCAGACCACGCGCTTATCTAATTGCTTGTCGATGACTCGTCCTGATAGAATTCACGAAAGCATTGCCCCCTTTCTTGATTGGAAATAAGGATGCTGGTTTTGGAATACACGGACAGGGACGGATTAAACTGAAAGTGAGCTGCGCGGTGCACTACTGGAGTGTGTGTCATTTAGCTTGCAATTTGCAAGGAATTGGTTTCTCAAGGAGTACACCGCAATCTGGTGCTTATGTAGTCAGCTATTAATAGTGGCAAGGTGCCTTATTCGAGAAACGCGTGCAGAAACTTGGATGGTCTTCGTTTAGAAGGTCTAGCAGGAATCACCACAGCTGGGTTGCCTTCGCTGTCTTTGCGACCTAGGATTTCAAACTTGAGTATTTACATCATACGCCAGCTCATGAGCCCAAAATGGACTTTAAAAGTTTTTTTTTTAACGGTAACAGTTGCTGCAGTCAGTACGAAACTCCTATGCTTTGATCGAACAGGATACCGACCGGTAGGATGTAGCAAAGCTCAGTAAATATTTATCCACGAGCGATGCACGGCAACTAAAGAAAAAAGTCTGGAATGCATTCGTTGGATTCGGTCACGACACGCAGCTACAATATCTTTTGGTACACGAAGTTGACGTTGCTGCGTTTCTTGTGATGGCTTTAGAGTTTTGGCCAATAGCCGTCGACACCGGGAGTACGCTTAAAAAGCAGATACTTGATGAATGATTGTCATGCAATACTTCTTAAATGCTCAGCAACTCTCAGGAGCTACCTACTGCGCAAGCTGATCTAGCCTTACAGCTCAAGATATACCACCCATCCCTATATTAAACACCTCGAAAAGAAATCGCGTAGCAAGGAGAGCCCGCGTTTTTTTTGTAAGCTGAGACTTTATTCATAATATAGCGACTGCTTAAATTATAAACCGCTGCTCTCCAAGTGTCAGATTTTGCTCTTTCTAAGGCTGATCACATTCTAGTCGCTGATTGGCGAAAAGCGTGACCTGAATGCTTCCGTTTTCCCCTCTTCAAGCTCCGCATTTGGAAAGAGGCCTCTTCGCTCCCAGCATCGCGAAGTCCCAGCGCCGCTCTTCTCTCCAAGCCACTTCCATACACTGCGCCCACGATGCTCCGTCGCCTCCGCCCCGACACCTCAACTCTCGCCTGCGTCTCACACATGCTACAGACCACTCGCGTGTATTCGGCCCCAGCATCGTGCCGCGCCTTCTCACAGCTATCCACAACCCCCTATCGCCTCCAACGTCTTCCTACTGCTGTCTACGCTACTCGCGGGGTCGTCACAGGCCCCCCAAGCGACAGCCACAAGAAGAAAGCGGCAGGCGACCAGCTCTGCTGTCCACAATGCGGGACCGCGCTCGTACTCGCAGAGCCTCTAGGCAGTGCGGACAAGTCGACGTCATCAAATCCTGCGACGTCATCTTCAACCACTTCAACTCCCTCCGTGGAGTTCAAAAAGGGTGACGTGGTCAAGTGCGTCAACTGCAACCTGCACTTTGCCCTCAAGGCGCAGCCTCCTGCTCAACCCAGCCCCACCTTCCGCAACGCTGCAGCGGCTGCAGCACTGAGCTCCTTGAGTTCATCGCTAGCTCCAGGCATGCAGACCACGCGCGGCTCCAGTCTGGGTGGACCCACATACAGCGGCAACTTCCCGTCTCCCTCACGTGGCGGTCGTATGAATGCAGACGGAGAGTACGAGAAATTGGCCAATGAGGCGCTTTTTTCCTCTGCAGCGGACGCGACAGTCAGCAAGGACCGTGTACTGACGCCTAGGGAGATCTACGAAGGACTGAATGAGTACGTTATTGGTCAAGATAAGGTCAAGAAAACGCTCGCTGTAGGCGTGCACAACCACTACAAGCGGCTGCATGCACTGGAGTTGCTCCAGGCCAGAAAGGAAGCGGAGGCCGCTTGTGCCAAGCACAATGCCAGCTCTCAACACCCACGCGCTGGTGGCGTAACGCGCCAGCATGTGGACATGGACGACCCGCGGCTGTCGAATATTGGTCGCCGTCTTCTATTGGAGGAAATTTACCCTGGATCGGATAAGAATGATGCAGAAATGCCGCCGACATCGAAGCAACATGCCTCGGAAGAGACTGCAGAAGTTACGAAGACGACGGAGACGACGCACACCCATGCGACGAGGCTGCAACATCACTCGATGGGGGACAAACTGCAGTATCTGGAAGGCGTGGAGCTGGACAAGACTAACGTCATGCTGGTGGGACCTACGGGGTCGGGTAAGACGCTGCTGGCCAAGACGCTGGCGCGACTGGCGAAGGTTCCGATTGTGATCGCCGACGCGACGTGTCTGACTCAAGCTGGCTACGTGGGCGAAGATGTCGAGTCGGTGCTGTTCAAATTGTACCAGGCAGCCAACTACAACCTGGAGGCCACCCAGCGTGGCATTGTGTACATTGACGAAATCGACAAGATCACGCGTAAGAGTGAAAACGTGAGTATCACACGCGACGTGTCGGGCGAGGGCGTTCAGCAAGCGCTGCTGAAGATCCTCGAAGGAAGCATGGTCAATGTGCCCGAGAAGGGCGGACGTAAGAACCCCCGCGGCGAGCACATTACCATCGACACGACAAACATCCTGTTTATTTGTGGTGGCGCGTTCGCCGGACTGGAGAAGCAGGTCACTCGGCGGACGTCCCGGTCTTCTATCGGTTTTGGAGCCCAGATGCCCAACATGCGCCTGAAGGATAGCAATCAGATTGGCCAGCTGCTGTCGCAAGCGGAGCCCGAAGATCTCGTATCGTACGGGTTGATTCCCGAGTTTATCGGCCGTTTCCCGATGCTTGTGAGCACCACGGGGCTGTCGAAGGATGAGCTGGTTCAAGTGCTCACCGAACCCAAGAACAGTCTGGTGCGACAGTACAAGGCGCTATTTGCGCTAAGTGACGTGGAGTTCCACGCAACGGAAGGAGCCCTTGAGGCCGTGGCTGAGTCGGCTCTACGCAAGAACACTGGTGCGCGAGGACTCCGCTCCATTTTTGAACGTGCGCTCATGGAGACGATGTTTGATTTGCCCGACATGAACGACGTGCGTGCCGTGTACGTGGATGAAGAGGCCATCTTGGGTCACAAGCGGCCTGTGCTGATTCGCGGTGAAATGACGCTTGACGAGTACCTCAAGAACCTCGAGGATGACAGTGACAAACGGGAAGAGGCTGTCTAAGCAGTTTCCAATCCATCCACCACCTCATTTGCCCCCTGCATGGCACTAACGGAAGGGAAGTGCTTACGCGTTAGGCAGCGGTGGTTCCTCTCTCTGTGCTTTATCAAAGGTATTTTATCACAAGCCCAACAACGAAAACTCCCAAGCTTATTGACGCGAGCAAAATAAAAGAAAAATAAACAAAAATTATTGAATCCTACATACGATCGATCAGTTTCTTTAGTAGATTATGGCGTTAGCTAAAAAAAATTGGGTTGTTGATGCGTACGAAATGTGAAACCACGTCTAAATGAGACTAGCAGCATCCCAGCAACACTCTCAAACAGGAGACTGAAGGCCAGCGCCAGCCGCAGGAAGAGCTTTGACCATGGTCGTAGGGACGATGCCGCCGCCATCGGCACCTGAAGATAAGGAAGAGCTGCGAGTCGAGGCTCGACGTCAGCGCGAAATCGAGCGTTACAAGAAACTGGGGCCTGGTCGTCTTCGTAGCATTGGGGTACGTGTGCAGGGTTCTAGTTGTGCTCGTTCAAACACTCAAGTGAAGTTTGTTCTTTCCAGGCGAATATCGTCGGTGTGAAGAACCAAATCGAGGAACGAGAACGTCAGAATGAAGCAGATCGCGACGCCAAACGCGTCAGTGAAGAGGAAGACGCAGCCATCCGACGCTATTTGCTCCAGGTCGAGTCGGAAGACGCACTGTCCAAGCGTCGAGAGGTCCTGACACTGCGCAACGACTGGGATCTACAAACTGCCAAAATACAGCAGGCCCGTGCAGAGTTCGCCGCGACCCGAGCCGTGAGCATTGACCCCGACACTTGTGCTCAAGGAGCTGCGCAGAAGTTCGACGGCGAAGACCTCGCTCGACTTGAGCGTATCCGCTTACAGGCGATGCAGATGAAGCAGTGGTCGATTCAGAAAATGGCCGAAGACGCTCAACGCAATGCGCACGAGAACGCAGATATGGCCGCGTACATGGCACAGCTCTTCGAGATCGAGCGACTGATGGAGGAACTGCACCGAGGCAACGAGCGTGACCGAGCAGCGGCGGCGGCAGAGATCAGTCGATTCAACCAGCGTCTGTTAGCTCTGCAGCGTCAGGACGAGAGTGATCGTCGTCGACTAGAGCAGGAAGAGAACGCTCGCGAGATTCAGCTCACACTGGAGAGCCATCTCGTGAGTGAGAACCCACTGCAAGCCACGCTTCCTGGAGTGTCTTTGGATCACCGAGTCCGAGTAGACCACTGGAAAGGGTTCTCTGGAGAGCAGACTAAGTATTTCCTTCGACAAAACGACGACATTATGGCGGAAAACGCCCGTCGCAGACAGCAAGAACGAGAGCAGGCCGAGGGGGAGTCCAGAGCCCAACGTGAGATACAACGCACACTCGCGCACGAAGAGTTTCTGACTCAACAACGACGCGCGCAGATGGAAATGGACGTCCGAGCCACTCAGCAGCGACAGGCTAAACTGGCAACGGAACGCGAGAAATCGAACGATGACCGGGCACGCGGCAAGATCGACCCTAGCTTCTTCCAGAGATTCGGTCGAACGTATCGTTGAGGAATTGTTTGATAGACCTAGTGATGGAGCAGCACATGGTCAGGATGGTGTTAAATACATCAACTCTACTGCAGAAATGGACCAGCTCGTACCTGCCATCGTGTTGTGCTCTTTCGTGTACTGAAGTAGTGATCAGCACAACGTTATCGTTTTCGTGAGCAGTTTGTGCAGCACAGCGGTGGCGTCTTCTAGCTCCTTGCCCGATAATATGTTCGCAGCAGCCTCGTCGCTCTCAATGGACGCTAACGAGGACTCGATTTCTCGACACAAAGACACAAAATGGTCGAGCTTGTGACGCTTCTGCGGCAGTGATCCAGACGAGTCTTCTGCTGATCGTTTGTTGGAGAAGTCGTGGCTGCTCTGCTCAGGATCAGCATACAATTCAGAAGACTCATCAGGGAATCGACCCCTAAAGACACGGTAACCGGAGCTCTGATTCCTCTTGAGAGACTGAAGTGTACTGGATTGGGCCGTCTCCAACGCCTTGGCAACATCGTCAGGACTAAGTTTCCGCATCGACACGCTTTGTACGAACGACTGCTTGAGATCTCCAGCCAGAAGCGTACTTAATGCTGCACCTGACTGCTCCACAATGTTTGAGTGCGCAAGCAGCTCGTACAAGGCATCTAGACCCACTGAAAGTAGCAACGCCAACGGCGCTAACTGACGGCCACCAGTGCGAGGAGCAGCAGCGAAGAGTTTCTGGAATAGACTGAACAGCAACTGCGTCACGATAGGAATGTCACCGCTAGCAACCTGCACGTCGAACAAGGAAGCCCCAATAAACTGTGCCGTGACGATCAACGTGTCACCAACCTGCGTGTTGTCAGTAATCGTACGTAGATCCTTCATCACTTGCACGCACTGGTTGCTTCTGTTCGCCTTGAGCACCGGTCCAAGCTTCGAAAGTAGATACAACGACGTCTCAATCGCCCGTCCAAAACAGCTAGACCCCGTTTTCTCCAGTCTTTCGCTTCGACTTGTACGTTTACTACCTGGTAGTACGTCAGATTGAGAGCTTCCTGTGTGTTTCATGTGCATCGCTAGCTGTGTTAAGGCCTCGGTAGACATGCGAACTAAAATGACCGACAACTCCGCAATATCATCTTGCTTGGGCTCGTTGTCATCGAACACTCCTCTCAACACCATCAGACACATGTCCAGCACACGCATCATTCCGAGAATGTCTTCATGCTTGGCTAATGGAGTTTTTCCTTCGGCTGATAAAAGCTCAAGAACGGTGCCACAGCATTCGAAGCACATGGGAAGATACTTTGCGATCCACTCATCTTTCATCGGCCCGTCGTACAATTTCAGGAACTGGACGGCTACTAACTTCTCGAGCAAATGCAGCTGCGACGCCACGCGCAGATTGAACTGGTGGCCTGGACCTTCGCTACTGATCACGTCGATAATTGCTGTCACTTGGTCCATGCACACGTCCTTGAGCAATACAGGAAGATCAGCGTAGACGAACGCGATCAACTGCAGGATTTCGTCCCCCACGCCACTTGCAAGCACGAAGGATGCACCCGAGTCGTCGTCCCACTGCGTGATATCGAGAAGCAGTTGAAGCGTCTGCCCTGCGAGTGTTTCGTCCCAACTGAAGCACAGCAATTCCCTCCAGATCTCCCAACACAGTGTACGCTGCGTCCAGTCCGGATACAGCGTTTGCTTTAGCAGTACTAGCTGCAGTTCCACAACGCTATCAAAGCCAAGAAAGAATTCTAGCATCAAATCCGTGAACAGTTTCGTCGCTTCTAGAGAGCGAGAGACCGCGTCACTCAGTGCACATTCCCGATAACGAGCAAACAACTGCGAGACTTCCACTGCTCTGACGGAGTCATCGTACGGTACCTCCGCACTCGATGACGAACCCCCACCGAAGCCTGCAAACGCTGTAAGTACGAGTAAATGTCCCCATTGGATCGATTTCTCAACGTCGACGTTTGTGATCTCAGCCGGTTGACGCTGCTTCACTGCGCGTACCATTTCACTGGCAGGGTGCCATAATAACGTACAGATACTCTGCTTTGCTAGGTCATTTACGCCACCACCCGCCAGTTTCTCGGTCAATTCCAGTCCTTGCTCAAGCATGTCTCGCAGCTCTTGCTCTGGTTTCGACGTCTTCGGGAGTAAACTGTGTCGCAGAGCGTAAAGCAGACTCGCCGTCACATTTACCATGACTAAGACGCTACTCTCCAGCTCGCACTCTAAACTGTCAGCGAACGCCGTTATTAAGCGCTGAAATGCCCGCCAGTGCAGCTTCAGAAACTTGAGCACACCAAGATCCGGAATCTCGGTAGTATCCAAGACGCGCAGTAGCCGCCCAGCACTCCGCTCGACAGACAGCGCAGCCGCAGCCATGAGCTCATCTACATCAAACTTCATTGTGTATTTTCCATCGTCGCTGCCTTCAGCCGTCTCACCGAATTCTGGACCAGGACTAGAACTCGCCAGAATTGGACCAAAAATTGTCGCCAACTTGGCTAAATTCTACACAGCACAACAAAAACGCATCAGCTTTACACTACCAATCGACTTCTTCTGTACTACCCCGACGGATACTATCCATACCTTCCACACGAACGTCACAGTCTTCAAGTCGGGCGTGGCATCGTCGTCTGCTTCCAATTTATTGCGTAGTTGCAGGAGCAAAGCTGCAACGTTCATCAAGTAGCTTCTCCAGCCTCTGTCTGCTTCATTTTTGCCCTCCACAGACTTCTGCTGCTCTATTAGCGCTGCGTTCTGGTGCACCGCAGTTAGCACCTCGTCCCCCCACTTGAGCCATCTTTTCCCACCTCCAGCGTCGCCCAGACCCGTCACTGCAAGTTGGAAACACTGGAACAATATCGTTAAGACTTTGTGGTTCCCCCCCGTCGATTCCTGTGTCGCCCAGACAAGCAGCGCGTCCAGCAGCTCCAATTGCACTTCTCGCGCCGATAAGTCCCCGCTTAAGTCCGCAAATAGCGACTTCGTCGCGACGGTCCAGTGCTCCTCTGATGCCGCTAGAAATGCCACCACCTCGTTCAATGCCGCTCTACGGTCATGAGTAGTGGCTAGATCCGACAGAATGGTTCGTAGCTCCGTTGCGACAGCGAGAGCATCCGTACAAGCAGCTAAGCGCTGCGCCACCTCAACCATACTTAAAAGAGGTACTGTAGATAACTTTTGAGAGTACCAAAAATGGCTACACAAAACATGGAAGACAAAAGTTCACTTCAACGTCAGAGATGGCTACACGTTTCGACAAAGAGGGAGGGGTACATCAAAATGGGGTCGTGTTTGGATGTAGTGGCTCCTACACAGCGAAGATTAATCCTATATACATGACAGCTACTACAACGAAACGTAGAGCACGTATCTCGTGCAAGTTAGATCTCGGCGCATCGTCCGAGTGTGGTTGGTTGCAACGAATGGCGATCCACAAGTGCAGATTCATCAGCTTCGGTAACCCAAGGATCCGGGTATTTACGCGCGCAAGTGGCGGTTGGCGCCAGGCTTGGAGTATCCTCCGTAAGCCTTGCCGGCAGAGTTTCCACCCACACCTGCGCTCAGTCCCGCACCAGCGCTAAGATCTGCACCAGCGTTGAGGCCCGCTCCAGCCTTGAGACCGGCACCGACGTTGAGTCCCGCTCCAGCGTTGAGACCGGCACCGGCGTTGATTCCCGCACCAGTCCTGACTCCTGCACCTGCGTTGAGTCCCGCCCCAGCGTTGAGCCCCGCTCCAGCCTTGAGTCCCGCACCGGCGTTGAGTCCGGCACCGGCATTCAGTCCCGCTCCAGCCTTGAGAGCTGCACCGGCGTTGAGTCCCGCTCCAGCCTTGAGACCGGCGCCTGCGTTGAGTCCCACTCCAGCGTTGGCACCGGCACCGACTTTGAGTCCCGCTCCAGCCTTGAGTCCCGCCCCAGCGTTGAGTCCCGCTCCAGCCTTGAGTCCCGCACCGGCGTTGAGTCCGGCACCGGCATTCAGTCCCGCTACAGCCTTGAGACCGGCACCGGCGTTGAGTTCGGCACCGGCATTCAGTCCCGCTCCAGCGTTGAGACCAGCATCAGTGTTTAAGCCAGCACCCGCATTGAGGCCGACGCCAGCTCTGCCGTAGCCTCTGGCACCCACACCTGCGCCAGCTTGGAGCCCCGCGGCGGCGTTGATACCCACCGCCGCGCCGCCGTACCCGTAACGCTTGCCATAGTCGTCGTTGTTGCGATAGCCATTCTGCTTGCCATACGCCCCACGCGTGTCGTAGCTATCGAGCGAGTCATCACTGTCTTGTTGGCCATACCCGTCTCGCTTGCCGTACCCGTTGTTCTTGCCGTAGACGTTCCGATTGCCGTATGCGTCGCGCTTGTCGTAGCCGTCGGTCTTGCCATACCTGTCGTGGTTCTGGTGCAGACGCCCGTACGTCTGCGCCACCTCGGTAGACGCGTCCACTGCACTAGCCGAGAGCGCCACAGCCGCCGCACACAGCGCACAGACCGTCTTGCTGAACATCATCTTGCTCGACTTGGAATTGCTTGATTGGAAGCGTGTTAACCCACAGACACTGGATCAGGACGTCGGAAATTGAAGAATGAACTCACTTGCATTTTGCTCCGATCGATGCAGCGAAGGACTGAAGTTGGCGTGATATCCTCTTGCGCAACGAACAGCTTGACAACCGCTCGACTAGCCCGCTCGCTGGGTGGTTGCAAGTCGACGGGTAGTTAGGAACAGATGGCTGAGTCGCCGCATAAGAACTCGTTGCGGTGGTAGTAATCCTGAACACCGGTGCTATCCAAATGCCACGTACACTTGTACTAGTTATTCAATATTTGTTTTGCTGGGGGGCTCGCAGGACACCATGGAAATGATGTACACTATTTAAAGCGATATAGGGTATCGGAAGGTGGTCAACAATCCTGGGAGGGGAGTAGTGTCATCATATATCTCGCGGACGTTTGAAGGCATTTCAATCCTAGACTGCCCTTTTTTCAGAATCCAGACTCGTTTGACTTGGGATCTGAAAGGGGGCGCCTTTGTAGAATCTCCTTAGCTCTTTCTGATAACTTAAATAAGTCAGATTATCTGACCCGTAATACGACAAATAATGTTGTAAACATGCTCCCCCTCTTTCCCTCGTGCGCACACACTTTTTCTCTATCACTCGTAAAATCTCGGACCGGGTCAAGCTGACACTGGTTCTGTTGAACGCCAATATACAGTATTGAAAATGCTCTCTAGCAACCACCAAGCCTAAAACACTTAGCAAAGTGAAATGCTAGGCGTGAGCCCGGGTTACCGCAAGCAAACCCGAGGTCAAGCACAATTATTTCTTTAATTTCAAGCACAGGTAACTAGAACGAAGTTTGGTCGCTTCGAGTTCATCACTGTACGCAGATTAGCAACTTTTTATAATATCTAGGCGTTATGTGAACAATTCAATCCAGATGAAAATCCAATTCAGTTAGCGAGTAAGTTAAACCCTCTTTAATCTGGTACAACGTCTTCCGGAATGCAAATCAGGATTCTATAAAATAGGAGAGGCCAGTCTTTAAATATTCAGAAATATCATTTCCCAAAAAGACATTTGATATTAAAATAACGCTTTCCTTTGGGTCAAACATAATTTCTGGCGAGCCATAACGCCTATGTTTCCTATAAGGCTTAGGTGACGTGCAACATAGAAGGAATCCAGGCTTACTTGGAGGGACCCCATAGAAAAGATGCAGCATTGAGCCGAAGACGGGACTTGCACTGGTATTGCTTTTTTGTTATATTAAACCTTACAGAAATAATTGGCTAGCAATTATGTTCAAGAAGAACTAGGTTTTGCATCTGTTCGACTGCCGTCTTACCCCCCATATAGTTTTAAATAGAATACGGGATTCGCTCGACATCTAGCTTAAACCTCAATTTGACCACCTACCTAATTAGAACACATGTGGCTGAAACCTACTTAGAACACAAGGCTGTACCAACCAATGAATATTCTTGAGAGCTCCCAACCAACGACCCTTCTGAACGAACTTGTCGGTGCTGCTGTTACCTAGCTTTAATTCTCTTATTTTATAATTTACATGGTCGTTTAGGGCTTGACCCTCCTGATGCCACCCGCGAATGGTCTCAACTGCCACGCTGTGCTTCTTGCTAAGAGCAGCAAAGCCGTGACCTTTCACGCCTTTCCGATAGTCTGCTAGAACAGCGAGTTTCTCGTGGATACTACAGCTACGTCGCTCAACACTCATGGCTAAGCCAGATTCGAGGACCCACAAACTTGCTTCTTCAAAGTAAAATAATTTGTTCGTTGTACAACACATAGGCTTTCTAAACGAATATAACACACAAGCAGTGTTGTATTCATTTACAGCACATATGCCTTATATGCGGGGTAAGACGGTAGTCTTGCATCCGTTCGAGCAATTATGCAACCATTCGAACAGCGTTTGAATCGTTTTGCATCCGATCCGCATCCACCACTACCCAACTGTATACGGGTTTTCTAAACTATGTATGGGATTGATTTAATCGACCTTCACTTCCAAAATAACTCTGAGATGGACGCCTCTGCTCGAGTATTCATCCCCGCCTCGAGAAATACACCGCTCACCAAGAGCATGCTGAGACGGTGGCACTCCACGCCCGGATGGAGTCGCAAGGTTTCAATGTATCGGGACGCAGTGCACGTAGACTCGATTGGCCGGAAATTCCTGTCTGGTGTCGAAACTATGACTGCGATGTAGCGGGGGTACCCGACGACTTAGTGAAGACAGTCGGCAACGAGCAGAGCGGGGATCGAAGCAGATTGCGTGTCCGATAAAAGTTGGAATTCGCGCAATCGATAAAAACAAAGTAGATGGACCTTGAAAGATTTTCCATACACTAGACAGCTTGTACCACAACCACCCGCCATCTTAAGATGCAAGAGTTCTACCTATCCATCACCGTCGCACGGCAGATACTACGTCACTTTCTGACAGAAGCCTTCAAGATATAATTGAGACGCTCTCGGTTGCGTGGCAAACATTCGTGAGGCTCTACTTCTTGCAGATCAAAACGCATATAAAATCTCAAGGGACATAGCAAATGCTCTAAATGCCGACCGCCAGCGAAACCTGTAAAGCATGACATCGACACAATCGTTGTTTTGTCGAATGTCAGAGCACAAATTCTTTTATCGCTTCGCTGCAGCCCTAGGGACAAACAGGCTTACGAAAATGTTTTGGGCACATCCAGAAGCATCTATGCATTGCGCACTGTTGGAATACATGTACAAGGTTCAAGCCCCGGCCCATTGCGAAGTTCAAGACCTGGCCCATTCGGGAAGGGAGCTGGGACGATGTAAAACAGATCGTAGTGAGCTTGAATTCGAAGTATTAGGATAAACTCGAGAGCTCTCGTAGTGCTCTAACAAATGCAGTCTTCATTTTACCTTTTATTCCAGAAGTGGTCTGAATCCAAATCCCAACAGGGTTATTGAGCCCAAGTTCTCGCTGGAGTGCAAGGCCGTCAAGGCCAAATATGCCCAAGCCGACGACGGATGCATCTTGGGAGGTCGAGGTCTCTAACAAGACCGGCCAACCGATTCGCTGGAACGACCAAAACTTCCAGTACTACAAGAAGCTCACGGAAATCACTGCACGGAAGAAGGACGCGGGCTTGTACAATGTGATGAGCGAGCAGATCAAGTACGACGAGATCTTCACGTCGATGCAGAAGGGTACGTGAGAATGATGACAGTTGGATATCCAGGAGTTGATTTTTTTGTCCGTGTGCACGGACATGGGCCAGCAGCGCATGGACATGAAGGACGGGTCCACCATATGGAAGTATCTGTGTGACCGATACGAAGGCACAGCAAACGATCCGACTAAGGCTATGACGAAGCGGCAGCTGTACGCGCAGTTGGAGTCAGCCAAGTGCAAGCAGAACGGCAAGGTTGAGGCACACCTGAACTATATGTGCAGACGCAAGGGAAGACTCAAGACGGTCGGTATGACTGTGGACGACATGTATTCAGCGGAATGCTGGTGGCGTCGCTCCCCACTAATGAGCGGTTTGACCGTTTGCGAGGGTTTGTGGACGCCGGAATGGACTGTGTGGACACACCGGAAAAGGTGGTGTCCATGGCGGTGACCTTTTAAAAGGGCCAACCAGGTCGAAGAATAATTGCATCGGTCTTTTGGTGCCAAGCCGCCTTCTGGCCAACAGAACAAGGAAGAAGGAGGGCAGAGAAAAGGTGGAAGCGATGAAGCAAGTTTAAAGGAGGAAAGTCTCGACCATGTTTCGTGAGCGGTAGTACCGACCACCTGAAGGTAAAATGTCGGGCGAGAGTGGAGCCGATGATAATGAGCAGAAAAGGGCACCACGGGGCAACTGCACATTTCGACAGACTGATAACACGTCACCGGTTGTGGCGCTAAATGGTGAGGAGGTCGCCATAAAATCCGTGGTGACGGGAATTGCGATGTCTACACGGCCAGAGGGGTTTCATAGATATGAATCTATGGAGGATTAAGTTCAGGAGGAGCACCATGGGATTGGCGGTCAAAGAGATGCTGCAGCAAGTGGTTCATACTGGTACTTCGATACGGCGTCGAACTCACACGTGACTGGGCTTCGTTCTCACTTTCTGTCATTTACTGAAGGCACAGAAGTTGCGAGAACCGTTCGAGGCCTGTCGCCAAACATCATGTCAAAGATCGCTGGTATGAGCACGGTGGCGTTAGTGAACAAAGTTGATTCGTCATGTACATTGATGATGTTTTTTACGTACCAGATGCAGAGTTTGGACTATTCTCACCAGGATTAGCGCATGAGAAAGGGTTCGATATTGACTACGATCAAGCCACTCAAAGCTTCATGATATATTGGGAAGGACGACGAGTCGTCGTGGCCAACCAGGAGGAAGCAACGTGGGTTTTTCAAGCCGTTTATTCTTTTGACAGAAGCGTACCGGGACCAGATGAACGGACATTGGTCAACTACACGATGGCAGAAGGTGTTGGAACTCTGAAACGCTGGCACGAACGTATGGGGCACATTTGCTCACAGTATCTCAAGATTATGGTGGACAAGGGACTCGTGCAAGGTATGATGTTAACTCAGCGCCAGCGGGACACGTGCGACGCGTGCCATTTGGGCAAGCAGGAGAAGAAAATACACCACAAGAAATTGGATAGAGTTACCGAAGAAATTTATCAAGTGGTGTACACAGACTTGCTTTTTTTCGAGCAAAGGGAATGACATCCTGTCCTGGTGATCATGGATGGATACGCCCGGTTTGTCACTGTTCACATGCTTAAAAACAAGTCGAGCGAGGTCGTGAACTACAACGTGAAGGATTATGTGCCGTGGGCTGAACGTCAAGCCGGTAGAATGATCCAGAAAGGGTTCACGTTTAAAGTAAAGCAAGTGCACACAGTCAAGGATGGTAAGTTTGTGAACGAGGCCATGGAGGCGTGGTACAGCTCGCGTGGCATCGAGCACATCCAAGTGGGACCGAAGAGCTCGCAGCTGAACCTGTGCGAGCGGACGCACTAGTCGCTAGTGAAGATGACCGAGGCCATGATGGAGCAGTCTGGCCTTCCCCGTAGTCTGTGACCAGAGGCAACGAGGAACGCAAAGTATATCAAGAGCCGGTCCTACAACAAGGGGACGCAGAGAGTTCCGTACGAGATGAACTTCGGAGTCAAACCAGATGTGCACCACATCCGGAAATTTGATTCGCTGGCGTACGCTCACGTTCCAGTGACGCTGGGCCGGCGCAAGCACGACAGGAACGCCAAGTTGGACTACGTTCTGGGCTACACAAAGAACGTGGTAGGCTACAAAGTCTACTTTCCTTCTGAGCATACTGCGAAGTTTATGTCTGATCTTCGTGTGGCTGAGGAGGTGGTATACCGAGACCGTCATGAAGTTGACGAGGAATCTGCTGACTGGTCATCGCTGAACTTCTCGATGGAAGAGCAGGATGAGAACAGTGGCGTTGCGAATGTGGATACCGAGAAGATTACGGTAGCAGAGTCGATGACGGTGAACGATCCCAACAGAGATGAATCTCTTAAACTCGAGGAGAGCGAGGATGAAGTTCTTCAGGAGGATGAAACCGATGATGTGCTTCAGGAGAGCGAAGATCCGGTGTATGGCGATGAAGGCGTTGCTGGTGGTGAACGGCTTCACTACCCAGTAAACGAGGCAGCATGCCCTTCTACTGGAGAAGTTGATCAAGTAGCTGAAGACTTGCACACAAGTCAGGATGAAGAAACTGAAGAACACGGATCGAATATGGAGGCGGTAGATGGTGAGGGAAACGAGTCGGTGGCTGGTACGTGTGGATCGTCTATAGTAGCCGAAGGCCCAGAGGGGGCAAAATACGACGGAAATGCCAGTGACAAAGACGTCACAGTGGCGAGCGTCTTTTGCTGGAAACGAGAGCGGGATGGACGATCACATGGACACACACATCGAAAGTGCATTAGGCCTGGAAGAGGACACGGAAGAAGTCGATGCATCTGATGAGGAGGAAATTCATACAATGGAAATCATTTATAAATGATCTCTCAATTTTCGCGTCAGACTGGGAAACGCATGAACAGAGATGAGACTCCATCGGAGGAAGAGAGAGTTGAGAAAGGAGCTGACAAAACCGGAACCAAAGAGGACTCGCACTGGACTGCGTGAGTTGCATGAGCGTCGGTGACCGCACTATTAATACCAGGACGACTACGTAGTGAATCTCACGATGAACAACGCACGAGTGCTGGACAAGAACGGTCGCCCTATCCGTCCAAGCCAAGTCAAGATCCGAGGTACAAGGTTCAAGTACAACGTGCAAGTGCCCACTCACTCGACACAAATATCCGTTTATCGAGCGCAAGTACTGCCGAATGGCCAGCCACGCGTTCAAATATGCTGTGTTGATGTCCCCGCTGTACATATCTAGTTCCAGCTCAGCTGCTATCGCCATTAGCATTCGAAAAGATGATAACATCGCCACTGGTGCAAATGTCTCGCGGAAATCAATGCCAGGACGCTGGTAGTTACCTAGAGCGACAATTCACGCCTTGAATTAACCACGTAGCCATATTGATCAAGTTTGAAGGAGATACTATCGTGTACGTGTTTGGCTACGTTGGTGATATTATAGTGGCAACAAACGACGAGTCATACAAAAAGAATTTGTTCAAGGACCTGAACGACGCGTATGGCCTGAAAGACCAAGGGAGGCTGGCGCGCTATCTCGGAGTTGAGGTGCAACAGACTCGTGAAAGCATCACGATCAGCCAAGGGAAGTACGCGCGATAAATTTTGGAGAGGTTCGGATACCAAGACGCGTCGGGAACCCCATGTAGACGAACGTGAGGCTTGCACCACTGGACGTGGACGAGCAGTCTGAAACCAGTTTCCCGTATCGCGAAGCAATAAGTATGCTGATGTACCTGGCCACCAGTTCCCGACCGGATTTGGCTTTCAGGCTGGGTCAATTAAGCCGATTCGTGGCTAACCCGTCCGCGAAGCAAGTAGGTCCTGTGACGAGAGTGCTCCGGTATCTTGCTGGAACATTGGACTACGGGATCACATACAAGAAAAAGCAGCAAGCGGCTAATGATATCGTGTTGAAAGGTAATAGTGATAGCGACTGGGCGAACGATCCTGAACAGCGACTGGCATTATCGTCTTGCTGGCCCGAGGTGCTGTTGTGTGGATGTCTCGCCGGCAGTCGATAATCGCATTATCCACAGCAGAAGCCGAGTATGTGGCTGCTTGCGAAGCCAGCATGGAGGCAATTGCAGCGAGTAATATCCTGCAGGAGATCTTGCCGAATCACCAGATCAAGTTTAAAAACAGGATCGACAACCAAGCGGCACACATCATGGCAACCAACCCAACTTATTGTCGGCGCACTAGTCACGTCGAACTACGTTGACTTTTGTGCGCGAGCAGGTCCAGAAGCGCGTAATCGAGCTACTCAAAGATCAAGGCGAAGAGAACCCTACAGATGCCTTCACCAAGTCTCTTGACAAGAAGCGACTGAAGAGATTGCTGCAGCTTGTGGGCGTCACGGATGCAAAATAGCGAAGGTCAAGCTTGAGGTCGAGGAGGGAGTGTTGGAATACATATACAAAGTTCAAGCCCCGGCCCATAGTGAAGTTCAAGACCTGGCACATTTGGGAAGGGAGCTGGGACGATGTATAACAGATCGTAGTGAGCTTGAATCATAAGTGCTAGAATGAGCTCGCGAGCGCTCTTCATGCTCTAACAAATGCAGTCTTCATTTTACCTTTTAGTCCAGAAGTGGTGCACAACACCCCAACGTGCTCGTACTCGACTGTACATACAAATCAAACATCTACAGCATGCCAATGCTTAACTTTGTGGATATCACTATCACGGACATGAACACAATTCTTCCCTTCGTGCAATGCCTACTGCTCTCAATACGCTATAGCTGCAGATACTCGAGAATTGTAACGGGGTTACACGCAAATGGTTACACATAGCCACTTGATTACGAAATACGTTTTCCACGTTGGTGTGAGATACACCAATGGTTACATTTGGCAGACTGTTGGTCTGCATGAATTAAGGGCATTCATTGGTTGAAAGTCAATATCTTCAGCCAATAGAATAGTGGAACTACTGAGATCGAGGGTTGGGGAATTGTCGAAAGTTTCGGAGCTACCTCAGTCACGCTGAATTTGACCTCTACACTGATCATCAGGCTCTGACGTGGATTTATGGAGAGACTACTAGAACGACCAATATCAAGTTGGCTCATTGGGCGATGGAATTATCGCAGCTGCGATTCAAGATCTACCACAAGCCCGGGACGTCAATGGGACATGCAGACGGCTTGTCGCGGCTGTACCATCGGCACTCACGTTGCAGGTGCAATACGAATGGCTGACTTGCTCAACGAGGATGACGGAGACCCCGCTAACGTGGAGACTCACGACTTCGCGTCTCAGGCTTCTGGAGTAGATACTACGGGTGAAGGAGCACTGAGTTGGAGCGCTCCCCGTGCTCCAACCTCAGTCGGGGAGACCTCTGAAATGGGCGCTCCTGAGGACTCTCCCAACCAACCCAAATGACATCTGAAGTACCGGAGATCCTTACTCAGAATGAGCAGGGAGAGGACTTGCAAGGACGCGTTCCGCGAGTTGATCAGTCCCCGGTGGATGCATTCGGGCTAGATGCTGACAAGTTTGTACTGGAGCAGGAACGGGAACCTTGGATGCGTGCCATGAAGGCGTTCCTGAAGGACGGAGCTTTGGCACTCGTCCCCCAGCTGCGGGTGACCGTGTTGAAGATGTCGCCCCACTATCTGATCCGGAACGGGTCCTGATGCGACTCGTTCAGCTGGGAGCGCGTGCGGGACCGGTCGGAACCATAAGCGTTCCTGTTGTGCCGTTGCCGTTCA